ACCACGGAGACGTCTTCGGACAGCGCTGGTTCTTCGGCTTTGAAACGGAGATGAGCAGCGCCCTCTAGAGTTGAGAACGACTAGCACGTATGTACAAGGGGGAACCTTTACCTGTTTATTCCATTTTAATATGCGGCTCGACTCGTTATCCAGTAACCCTGGCTGGCTTAGCAGGTCCATAACAAAACAATCTAAAACTACGAAGAGGTTTAAAAACACCGAAAAACTCCGGCCTTAACGTTCCAACCTTAAAATTCACGTTACCGTGATCGAAGATTACGAGAGTCAAGACAATAAGTGTTTGGAAGGATTTCCCACTTCCCGCCCCTCCCTTGTGCTGACGAAGCTGACTGGGAGACCCGAGGGTCCCACAAAGACAGCCCCCCCCTCCCGATCCAAAGTCCCACCTCCCCTTTTTTTTTTCTTGACAAGGAGCAGAAACGTGGTGAGGGCCTGACAATTTGAACCAAATTAAGTGAGATAGGGTGTGTGCGTGCGGAGAGGGAGGGATGTCGGAGACGGGGGTCTCTGGGCATTGTCTTCGTCCCTCTCCAGAACCCGCTAGGGAGCCCCGTGTTTTTTGGGAGGGGGGAGGCGGTTGACCCTCGCCAGCAGATGGGCAGCACGGCGAGCGAGTGGGGGGGATTTAAAAAAGAGCTTTATTGAGTGCATCGTAGCCTGATTAGGCGATAAAGGACATGTAAGATGGGATGGGGGGGCTGCCTTTGAAGTCTCGGCGGCCCAGCGGGGGAGCAGGCTTGACTGACACCGAAAGTCTCTTCTGATTACAGCCGCACAATGTTTTCCTCTGTTCCTGCAAGCTTGTTATTCTCTTAAATTCCCATTCTCTACGCCCCCAAGAGGCTAGTGGAAAAGCAGGGGACACCGATACCCCAAACCCTCTTGTTCGCATCCCTGTAGGAGAATAAAAGCTTCCTCGCTTTCTTTTCCCCAGAAATCCGGTCAGATCTTTCCGCTGGGCTGTGCCCCAAATGCTTTTTTTCACTTTCAAAAGAAATACGTTTCGTGCATTTAAAAAAAAAGAAATGCATTTTGTAAGCGCATGTCGTCAGTCGCATGAGAGGCCACGCTCGGAATGTTGCATCCACTTCTGGTCACTGCGATCCCGGAAAGATGTTGAGACTCTAGATAAAGAGCGAGAAGTGAGATTGGCAAGATAGCAATATAGCAATAGCAACAGCAGTTAGACTTATATACCGCTTCATAGGCCTTTCAGGCCTCTCTAAGCGGTTTACAGAGAGTCAGCATATTGCCCCCAACAATCTGGGAGTTGGGAGGGCACCTTGGAGGTCTTCTAGTCCAACCCCCTGCTCGAGCAGGAGAGCCTATCCCAGTGTTGGCAAACCTTTTCGGCATGTGACAAAACGGGAGAGTGTGTGTGTGTGTGTGTGTGTGTAACAATTTAGAACAATTAACCAGTGGAACGGCTTGTCTCTAGAAGTTGTGGGTTTTCAAGAAGAGACTGGAGAGCCGTTTGTCCGGAATGGGATAGAATCTCCTGCCTGACCAAGACTTTGGACTAGAAGACCTCTAAGGTCTCTTCCAACCCTATTAGTCTAACCTGGTAAACAATGACCCCCAAATCACCTTTTTTTCAACCGAGTTCTGGCGGCCCAAGAATGCAGCTGAATCTTCTTCTCCCACAAAACTGTTGCCAATGGCTCATTGGCTCAGGAGCGGCTGCCAATTTTCTCATGGCATTTACGGGGCCTTAATATCATTTAATTAAGAGGCCAGGAGAACTGGAATCCTTCCCAGGTGGTGAATTATTATTATTATTATTATTATTATTATTATTATTATTATTATTATTATCATCATCATCATCATCATCATCATCATCATCATCATCATCTCTTTTATTCATTAAGCATGAAACTCAACTGAACATCCAAAAATGCATCACAAATACCATTGACTGGTGCTAATGGTTGATACGGGTTGCTGCTAGCATCCTAGGGATCAACCAAGGACCTTCTTAAAATAGTCGATGTTGCGAGTAGCGCAGTTTTTTGCAGTTCCGCTGGTGGTATTGCAGGAAGCTGCAATTTGTGGATGTATTTTATAAAATTCTTGGACATGGTGCCAAGTGCCCCGATGACAATGGGCATCACTGTCACCTGCTTCATCCGTTGCCGTGTAGTTTCGATGGCCAGATCGCGATATTTCGTGATTTTTTCTAGTTCTTTTTCTTCGACTCTGGCGTCTCCGGGAACAGCGATATTAATAAACTGTACACTTCACCAACCGTGATATCTAGCATGTTGTGTTCCAAATGACGATCCGTCTGTATTCGAAAATCCCACAAGAACTTCACCATCATCATCATCATTATTATTATTATTATTATTATTATTATTATTATTATTATTATTATTATCATCATCATCATCTTCATCATCATCATTATTTGCTCTGTTCAGCAACTGGACTGATGCTGTCCGACAGTAAAGTCTCTCTTTCCCTATTTTTAAAAATTTAAAAATCGTCGAGGCTTGTCTTCGGTTGAAAAGTTAGGCGGGTTTAGTCTTTTGAATAGGTTGGGATCTGAATTGTAAATGCTACAGGTAGTCCTCGACTTACGACCCCAGTTGAGCCCTCAACTCCTCTTGCTAAGTGAGACATTTCTTAAATGGGTGTCACCCCGTTTCATCACCTTTCTTGCCACAGTTGTTGTTAAGAGAATTGCCGGCATTGTTAAGTTAGTAACGCGGTCGTTAAGTGAATTTCCAGCTTCTCCGTTGGCTTTGCTTGGGTCGCAAAAGGGGATCACGTGACACAGGCACACACACACCCAGAATGTTGCGACCGTCATGAGTGCGAGTCCCGTTGCCAAGCTTCCAAACGTAAATCACTTGACCCTGGGGATGCCGCAACGGTTGTTAAGTCTGAAAAATGGCCATAAAAATGGTCAGGTTTTTTTTTTCCAGTGGCATTGTAACTTGGAATCGTCAGTAAATGAAAGGTCGTAAGTCAAGGACTACCTCTAAAAATGTGATGGGCCGAATAAAACTTTCGGTGGGCTTATTTAGAGATCAAAGGAAATAAATAAAGCCTTTTCTCTCCAGGAAACATAACCCTTAAAATATATTTTTTAAATTATTATTTCTCACCTCCCTCTCTTTCTCTCTCTCTCTTTCTCTTTCTCTCTCTTCCTCCCTCCCTCCCTCTCTTTGTCCAGGCGTGACCCTCTCAAGAAGACTCAGGTCAAACCTCATCTCAATATCGCCTTTGAATATTCGAGTGGTTTGCACCCCTCGGCTTCAAAGGGCAAGAGGAAGAAACGGCTGAGAAAGTGGGGGGAGCAAAATTCTCCCAGCTGATCTGAGAATTCTCTGTGGCTTTGTGGACGGGATTGGAAAAAAGGTGGAAGAGAGGGAAGACACAACCGCATGAATGCCCCCTTTCTACTCCAGGAGAGGAAAAACCATGTTCCACCACGAATACCCTCTTCCTTCCTGATCCTGGAAGAGAAGACCAATCAGGTTCCACCAGGAATGTCCCCTCCCTTCCTGGTCTAGAAGAGAAGGCCAATCAGGTTCAACTAGGAATGTCCCCTCCCTTCCTGGTCTAGAAGAGAAGGCCAATCAGGTTCAACTAGGAATGTCCCCTTCCCTCCTGATCTGAAAGGGGAAAATAAGTATGTCCCCTTCCTTCCTGATCTAGAAGAAAGGACCAACCTGGTTCAACTATGAACTTCCTTCCTGGTCTAGAAGAGAAGACCAATCTGGTTCAACCAGGAATGTCCCCTTCCCTTCTGATCTGAAAGGGGAAAATAACTCTCCCCTCCCTAATCTAGAAGAAAGGACCAACCAGGTTCAACCATGACCTTTCTTCCTTATCTAGAAGAACAGAACCACCATGTTCAAACTGAATGTCCCCTTCCTCCCTGATCTAGGAAAAAAAACTAACCAGTTTCGAGTAGACACCCCACCCCCCTCTCTGATCTAGAAAAGAAGACCATGTTCAACCAGGAACATCCCATTCCTTCCTGATCTAGAAGAGAAGACCAACCAGGTTCAACCAGGAATGTCCTCTTCCTTCCTGATCTAGAAGAGAAGGAATGTCCCATTCCTTACTGCTCTAGAAGAGAAGACCAACCAGGTTCAACCAGGAATGTCACTTCCCGATCTAGAAGAGAGAAAGAACAGTTTCAACCACGAATGACCTCTTCCTCCCTTGATCTAGAAGAGGGAAAAAAGCAACCAGGCTCCTTCAAGGTCAATCCCCTGCTCAATTAAAGTCATATCGGCAAGAAGGCAATTGCGTCTTACCAAACTCTTCGCCTCAAATTGGTTTTCCGTACGGAGGGGTGAAAATTCCTTTGGGGAAAAGACTGTAAAGTCAGACCTGACTCTCTTCACAAGCGCCTTGCTTAGCAACTGAAATTCTGGTCCCTCATTCTGGTCTTTAGCCGAGGGCTATTTTACAGAAGTCAATTCCCCTTTAATGCTAGGGGGAACTTGCTAGCTTTTGACATCAAATCTTGGCTTCCTCCTTCGTCAAAAGACATTTTGAGAAAGGGCGATACGGGCCATTCGACTTGGCTGAATTTTTGCGCTTCCGAATTTGGCTTCCCTTGTTTAGAAGGAAAGCTAATGTTTCAAATCTGTGATTTTCTTTGTGAAAGGAGAAGCCTTTCAAACCTCAAAGTTACAGAAGAAACACACGCACCCCTACAAACACAAAAGCTTGGCTTTCCTGTGCTTTAATACACAGAGGTGTGTAAAACGCCCCCCACTCTCCCAGGGCCACTTCTGGTAGGGTGTGGCTGGACAGCTATATAAATTCGATAAATCAATTCAAATAAAACAAGAAAGATTCTTCCTAGGAAAAACGCCAGCCAGCGGCTCCTGGTTTGAAAACATCCCGAGCACCAGCGTCAACGCCAAAGCCAGGTCAGAATTCAGAACAAATCTAAGATTTGGGGTTTGTCTCTGAATGAATCGCAGGCAATCGGAGGAGTTTCTTAGAGGGGAAACATATTTTTATTTTTGCAGGAGAGAAATGCCACTCCAACATCGGAGGGTGTTAACGTCGATTTTGACAATCAACATTTCTAAGCGCATTATAAAGATCCCTCTGAAAACGTACCACTTGTCTGCCTTTAATGTGGTTCTTTGTTCAAGTTTAAGTGACATTGGGTTTTACTAGTTGTGAATCAGCGAGGCGATGGGAAGCTGTAGGGCTGTCTCTCGGGATAAAATAAATATTATTTTAATGTGCCATCAGATAGGGGTATTTTCCCTCATTGCATAGAACTGGGATGTGGAAGCTTTCGGCACCGAGCGCCGGAGAAGGATCCGTGGAAATGTGCACATTCGTTGTGGCTGCGCTCTGGAAAAGCTGAACTCACAGGCATAGAACAAGTAAGCATTCAGAGATACATCGGGGAAACCGATCAGAGCAGGAAGTTCAATTTGAATTGAATTGTTTTGTCCTTGTTTTTTTTAATTCGTTTCAAACCGAATTCAACCGATCAATCAGAATGGAGCTGGAAGGGGCCTCGGAGGTCTTCTAGTCCATCCCCTCTGAAGGCAACATTTTAAAACCCTTTTGACTTCCAGGGGGGGGTCTTGATTCTACTTTGGAGCAGATTTTCAATCTCACCCAAAGGCTTGTCAACTTTCCATTTCGCCACCAGCGAACCCTCTTTGGCGTGTCCCTTCAAATTGATTTTAAATTTAACACCCCCCCCTTTTGGGGGGGGCTGAGGAGGGGGCTTCCAAATGTCCCCAGACGTGTTTCTCCAGAAAGCAGATTTTTTAAACCGTGTGGCTTTTTCAGGCGTCCGAAAAAGTTGTCCTTCATTAACGCCAGGCAGTTGGCGAAAATAATGAAGCGGGCCTCAAATTCTCTCCGGATTTCCATTTTTTAGGATTATGAGACGGTGGGCTTAATTATTTCGCCCCGTTTCCCTCCCTCCCTCTGTCTTTCACACTGATAAAAAGTCCAAGTTGTTCCTTTGATAGATTTTTAATATGATTTTAAGAGAGTTTTGTTTGGCCTTATTCTTAGGCAATAAGATTAAATTTCGAGCACTTATCCCCTGGGTTTAAGTCAATCCATGTAGACCTCTCCTTGAACAGGAGGCCTCTTTGTATTGGGGGGGAAAGGGGGGGTG